TCATGGTGGAGCTCTCTGTGTTATGCAGATCCTTCACTAGCACAAGGTCCCAGGGCTGCTCTCTCGGATGCTTGGCCAGGCCAGCACAGGATCAGGGAGCTGTAACCTGCTCTCTGACTGTTCTCTCTCCCCTGAGCTAAACAAAACTTGGGTTCAGGGAAGAATTGAACCTCAAGTATGGGCGGGGGAAGGGATGGATCTTCAAGGGTCCCCAGCCTCCTGGTGATGTGCAGCCCAGTTGCTTGAACAGGGCTCTGCATAATGGTCAACTTCTAAAAGGTTTTGCAAAGGACAGTTGTCCAGACAAGCCAAGGAGGTTGGGGGTCTGTGAGAGCCACTGTGACCACAGGGTTTGGTGTGCATTCTGGTGAAATGTATTATCTATATGTTCGAGTCAAACAAATTACTCATGACAGCAACCCCATAGGGTATGAAAGTATCACTGTCTTGGTTTTATAGATGGAGGAATGTAGGCAGAGATGTTCCATCACTTGCCTCAGCCTTAGAAAGAGTTGTTGTCAGAGCTGGACACAGAGAGGAGTCGTCCCTGGCTTTCAGTTCTACACGTAGTCCATTAGACCAGATGCATTATACCTTCATGATGAACTGCCCCTTCATGTTTACAGACATCATATTGGTTGTTCAACACAAGAACCAGCTGAGATTCATGCTGGTAGGTTTGAGGGAGAGAGTGACATTAGTGCTATCAGTAGCAGTTTATGGAGCACTTGAATCCATTACCATGTGGGTCCTCCCAAAAATCAGTGAACCTGCAGCCATAGTTTTCTTGGAGGCCAAAGACCAGCCTTGGGTTGCTGTAGTGAGAACCATAAACAACTAATGATTTTTAGAAGGAAATAGGGACTAACTTTCTATTCTAGCAATCAAATTATACTTTCCTTAGTATTTTGCAAAGAAAAGGACTATAAATGTATTTTTATTATTAAAACATGAAAGATGAATTAGATTAAGTCTGATATTCCAGTTACCCCCAAATTTGGAGGGATGAAAGGGAGAGGAAGCAATGACATAGGTTTTCTGGTCTTCACAGGCCAGCTCTGTGTGCAATATGCTGAATCATACTAGCAAAAGTCTGCCACAGTTAGTAAAGTAACTTTATTGTTTTGTGGAGGGAGTGGCGGTACTGCTCTGGTGTGAAATACATTCATCCAAGTTGATGCTTTACATCTGCATTCTCAAAAGCAGGATTTCTCATTCTTTTTTTCTTTTTGCTAATTTTCAGAAAAGCATTTTGAGGCATTTACTCACCCTTATAATCTCAGCTATCACTGACAGAACCATTCTAAATGTCACCCCCACTTTTCCAGTTACTATCATTGTAATCATTATCTTTCTTTTGTCTGGAGGTTTCCATGTACCTCTCTGTACAGATTTTTTACTACCATTACAGGTAGTGCTAAATAGTGACGCCTGTACGTATGGTTGCCTGACACGTCCCATTGTAAGATGCTGTTTTCAGTTACTTATAACTTTCCCATAATGTAACCATTTGAGCTGAAATTCTCCATGCTTGCTTCAGTCTGAATTTTTCTGGGAAGGTTCAGCTAAAACGATTGAGCTGTTTCTGAGAACAAGATTAGGGAAAAACATGTTTTGCCTGAGCTAAAAAATTCTTACAATCATTTCACTGAGACACTTTAGTGTCTCCAGGCTTTGGAGCAGGGACTTGAAATTTGGTCAGGGGATGGGGTAGGATGGCTGATATCAGGGATAAGCCTATTGGCTTCCCAATGGAACATGACCAAATGGTGGTCAAGTTATAAGGCTTTGAATAATAGTCTCAGTTTGCATATGCTCACTAGAAACTTGTTATAATTTGGAGGCTAAATTTTCCAAAGATTCAATCTGTAGTGAGCATGATCCATCCATTTACAGCAAATATATGATGACCAGGCTGCTCATGCATAGAGCCCATGATATTCTTTTTATTTTTTATATTTTTTATGTTTTAGGAATTTCTTGTTATTTTATTTTACACCATTATCCAGGCACCCTCATGCCCCCTTTTATATTTCCCCTTGTCACAGGGTGCCTCTGTCGGTACCTGGTGAATCTTGCAGCCTGGGCAGTTCAGATGGTTTCGCCATCACAAACATACATACTGGGTTGTTTATCTTTCACCAAAGTGTGCATTTATTTCCCTCTTACATAACAATACTTGTGCAATACAGGCTTACAGCAAGGTAGGCTCCCCTGCAGCCCTCACCTCACCTCACCTCACCTCCCTGCCCTGCCCTGCCCTGATTGTCACCCAGGTGCTCACAATCCCCCATCAGAAAGTATGTAATTGCCCTCAGCTGGGCCTGCAGCCTTCTCCAAACTACAGCAATGTCAGTGATCAGAATGCTACTGATAACACCCTGTCACACCCCTCTCCTGTTGACCTTCAGCCCCCCAATTCCATTAGGCCCAGAAGCCCCTTCCCTACCCCCCTTAAATATTCCACCTCCCCTACTGAGTCCCAGCCCTCCAGGTCACCCATTAGTCCTGAGGCCCTCTCACTTATTCCTCCTTATATATTTTCCCTGGCCTCTGGGTGGGGAGGACCTAGTGAGGGGTTGGGTCCTGCCCGCAGGAGGTGGAAAACTCTGGGGGAGGGGGTCAGGTCCTGTACCTGGGGGTTGGGAGGCCCCAGGGGGTTGCAGATAAAGCCCACACACACTCATTCTGCAGCAGTGGCTCCTGTCCTGCAGGTCTAGGCTCAGTTCCCCGCACCAGGCATTGTGACTTGGACATGGGTTCGCAGCATTGCTCAGGTTTGACCCGGCTGCCCCTTCATCAGTGGGGCCGGGGCAAACCTGAGCAGCACTATGATCCCATGTGCCAGGTTGCAACACCTGGAGCAGGGATCTGGATTCAGCCCTGCAGGACAAGAGCTGCAGGAGCTGCCACTGCAGGGTGCATTTTCGTTTTATGCCATTTTTTATGTTCTTTTTCATTTTGTGTTATTTTGCATTTGCGATGAACATGGGCCTTTACTCATGCACCTTCCCCACAGAGGCATGTGCCATTCCAGGACTGCGAGCCTGAGCAGGACTTCCCCTGCAATTGTTCTCTGTTGTGCTCTCAATGCTGCCCCTGCTGGCAGGCTGGCAGCTTGGATAAGGAATATGACTGGAATGCAGAGGGATGAGGAACCCGGGTGGCAGGAGAGATGCAGTGCTGTAGGTCAGGAGCAGGAGCTTGAGGAGATGGGAGTATGAGGGAGAAGCGAGTTAGAAGCAGGATCTGGACTGGGACTTCACATCATCCCTGTCTCATTCAGTGCTCAGGATGCACAACGCTCTCGGGGTGAATTTGGGGTTGTGCAATGAAGAAGGCTGTTGTCATAGGGCCCCTGCCTCATTTGTTGCAGAAGTTGGAAGGTGTGTGGTGAATGAGGCAGTGATCGTGGACTTAAATACTGTATCACAATAAATATGCACCAGGGGCTGGATTAAGGCTGCCCAGGCATTTCCTAACTTTTGACTACTTGCTTTACAAACTCAACGTTCTTTCAACATAGCTTTCTTGAAAGGTAATTATATAATAATTGTTGTGTCTTTATGGAATTTTCTGTATACTTGCATTGTATTGCTTTAGTGCAATCTCAATGGAATAAGCATAACAGACCTGCAGTAAAGTTGAACTATCCTCTTTTCTGAGCTAAAATGACAGCAATTTGATTCTCTAGTGTCCTGACCCTACACTTATTATTTAGATAAAACTCCGATTGACTGCAACTCAAGTTGAGTTTTGTGGGAGTAAAGAGTTCAGGATATGGTCCCCAATGTTAAACGTACTGTTGAGCAATTTGGAACAAAACAAAGGAAGTTAAAATGCAGAAACAAAAATCACACAGAATGGACGAGAACTGTTAACAGTCTAACTTATTTAACATGAAGTCTAGCTCCTTAACATGCTCTTCTTTTTCCTATGTGCAGTATCAGTATGAGAATGCACATGTAATTTAAAATAAGGCAGGTGCTATCATAAATGGTATATAAAGATAGTAATTTTAATAAGAATTTCAGGCTGAAGTCTGGAATTCTGGAGTTAGTGAATTTAGATTAGCATCTTAATTAATGCAATTGACTTTTAATATAATTGAAGACCTTCAAAATTAAACACAGTCAACAATAATAAAGTATCAGTGTTTGAACCTGTAATTTTTAAGCCAACGTATGAGCATGAAGCCTGAAAAGTCAAGTGAAAGAAAATATTTGTGAATCCAGTTTGAGCTTTACCTTTTCTTTAATAAATTTGCTTTAAATCTTTAAATGCTGATAAAAGCTAAGCTAAACCATAAAAATCCTAACCCAGGATAAAACCTATGTGAAGGAAAGGGTTAAAAGAACATTTGGGAATGTGAAGCATTGAATTATCTGACTGAAACCAGCAGGGGTTGCTGTCACTATTTTGTGGTTGTCACATTCCTGCTATGCTTGACCTTGGAAAGGCTCAACAATGTAGCCTGGATTTGATTAAGGGAATTTCATGTTTTTCCTTTGCTAGAGTCACCCCCCACCTCGACAAACATTTTAAAATGTTAAGAAAAAAAATGTTTGGAAAGCAAACATTTTCCCAAAAGAAATTTATAGTTCAAATTTACACCAAGTTCGCACTCACTGGAGCAGTCCAGGTTTCCACTGAGGCTTTGAATATTCTCTGTAAACCATTAGTCACTCCCCTGGAAGAGACAGCTTTTTATAGGCAGCGGGATAAAACAGGCACAGATGTGTGTGTAATATTAGAGGTTTTCACATGTACCTGTACTTTAAAAGAAACCTAGAAAATTGGAAAAGAAAAAGAACAAAAGCAGAGATGGGAAAAGAAGAATTTTTTTGACTACATATGATGATGAATTTAGTTAAAGGGAGACATTAATGTTTTTGATGCCCAGATGTTTTTGTATAGTGGATTTTGGGGATCATGCCAAGTAGTATGCTTAATGAAGGTATGAGCTGTAGTTTGTAACTGGTTGCCTTTTTATTCTGCAGGACTGTGATTATGCCAATTGCCAATGAGTTTGATCCGGACATTGTCCTAGTATCAGCTGGATTTGATGCTGTGGAAGGCCACGATGCTCCATTAGGCGGGTACAAAGTCACAGCTAAATGTATGTATAGTCATAAAGTGGTTATTTTTTTCTGGCTTGATAATTTCTTCTGGGATGGATCTTTATTTCAGAACCAAATTTTGCCCTCATTTATACGCATATGAGATTGCCCTGGTGTAACTGAGAGAAGAATTTGTCCTTTAGTTAATATCCGTGGGTAGCCATAGAACTCTCAAGAACCACTTGAATGTGATACAAATAAAATTATTTCTTAGCTTTTCTAGCCTCTTGGCATATTTTTGTCTAAGTTTGAAAGCTTTATTTTGTTGGCATTCAAATAACCTTTCAGTGATTTCATGCTTTTTTTCAACAGGCCCCACTTACAAATGCAGTAATAAATTAGTCATTTTTAAACTGTGTTGAACATGTTAAATTTTGGAGGCTTAATTCTGATCTCACATTGTTTTTATACCACTGTAACCCACGGAATGAGTTACTCCTGATTTACACCACTGTTCACGAAGGTCAAGATTTTCAAAAGAAACTACTGATTTACAGTGCCTCAGTTTCTGGATGCCCAGCTTAAGCCCCTAAAGGAGCCTGATTTTCAGAGGATGGGTGCTCACCAGCTTCCAAACATTAGACCCCTTTAAGATGTCTCCAATCGGGGACCCCAAAATCACTAACCACTATTGAAAATCTTGGCCAAAATCTGTTTCTTGCCTGTGGGCTAGATTTGTAAAGGTATTTAGGTGCCTAAAGATGCAGCTAGACATATAGTGGGAATTTCAAAACAGCCTAGGTGAAATCAATAAGAATTAGGTGACACGGTGATTTTGAAAATTACACTAGGTAGCTGCATCTTTAGGCACCTAAATACCTTTACAAATCTGGCCCAATAACAACATGTTGAGCAATGTGCAGTGTAGCATTGCAATATATACGACACTGTTGGCATTCTACGCTGGAATACAAAACAGACTTGTTTTCTAATCCAGATCCTTATTTAGTGTAATTTAAAAACACTCCATAGGAGTCAGTGGGAGTTGTGTGTTGATGTGCAAAGGAGGGAGCACTGTGTAAAGGTTTAGCTCAATGAGTCCTTGAACACCAATGGGAAGTGTTAATCTGCAGTGGGAATGGAGAGGAAACAAGAACCTGGCCATGGTGAGGAGCTGACCAGCCACAGAAGCTCGACTGCCAACTCCTTTAAGGTTGGGATGTTATCTGCATTGTGACATGCATGCAGAGTGCAAATAAAAAATTACCTTTAATTTATTATATCTCTAAATTTCTGGGGGTGAAATCCCTCCTTGGCGGAGGACTTGTGCAAGTCCCTCCATGCTACACTGTCCTTATCATTATCCTTTACAAATAAGGGGAATGGGTAGAGCTGTGATTGCATGAGCTCAACACTCCCAGTGTGCAGGGCAAGAGGGCTTCACAATGACTCTAAAATTGTTGGTCCAGAGGGATCCTTACTTACCTGGATGACACAGCCAGGAATCCTTGCTCAGTGGGCTTGAGAGGTACCACTTGCTGTTCCAGGCACGATGGGCTGTGAAGCAATTCCACAACCTACCAGTATATTGGAGGATGTATCTTATTTCTTCCCCCCCCCCGTTGCCCCCAACCTTGAGAAGGAGAATGGAGTGAAGACAAGGATTATCTTGTATTTTAAAATCAACTCAGATAATTTTTTCTTCATCCACTCTGCATTCTGAATCCATTCTACCTCCTTTACGTCGCTCTTACAGAACCTGAAATCATCTTAGAATTTTAGTACAAGAGGCCATACACACCAGTATAAATGTGAACAAAAAGATGATTTACGGTAAGTGGCTCTTGTTTAAATTAAAGGAAAAGCAAATATAGGCCCAGATAATAATCACGTATCTAAAGGATGAATAAATTTCTTTGCACAGAGCCAAAGGAATTTATTATTTCCCCAAAACAAAATACTCAACATTCCACCATACGTTTTTAGAGCATATCATACTGTATATGGTATAGAGAAAAGTGCGTACAGCCTATAACAAAAAAATCATCTAACATTTGAGAGACAAACTCCATATTAAAGAAGTACAACGGTAATCTAAATATGGATCCATGAAGAAATAGTTATATCATTGATTACTTCTCAGATTTGTAAAACATGTACAATACAAGCAAGTGCACTGAGAAATGTTAACATGTTTTTACAAGCCGGACTGTAGCTTGTACCCAAACTATTATTGTCATTTCATTTACATATTTTTAGTGCTTTGCACCCATTTAATACACTGGTCTCCCTGATTTCCAGTGAGCCAGTCCAATTTTTGCACTTGAGAATTAAGACATTTACATCAAAGAAGGAAAACTGATTCTTTGACTATTTGCCCCACTTGGTAAAGAAGCAATATAGAGATGCTGTGCCATGGGTGGAGAGCATTTTATGGCCTTCAATCAGAGCACAGTCACAAGGGAATAGCTGTAAAGTGTTAACAGAGCAGCAAGTTCTAGCTCTGAAGAACTGGGAGAAAAGGGATGAAGAGAGATGATCCAAATGAGAAAATCATTGGGCCAAATACATCCCTGGTGTAACTCAACTGTACTCATGGAATCATAGAAGTGTAGTGCTGGAAGGGACCTTAAGAGGTCATCTAGTTCAGCTCCCTGTGCTGAGGCAGAACCATGTAAACCTAGACCATCTCTGACCAGTGTTTGTCTTAAAAACCTCCAATGATGGGGTTTCCCCAATCTCCCTTGGAAGCTTATTCCTGAATTTAACTACCCTTATAGTTCAGAAAGTTTTCCCTAATATCTAATCTAAATCTCCCTTGCTGCAGATTAAGCCCGTTACTTCTTGTCCTATCTTCAGTAGACATGAAAAACAATTGATCACCATCCTCTTTATAAGATCCTTTAATATATTTGAAGACTGTTATCGAGTCTCCCCTCAGTCTTCTTTTCTCAAGACTAAATATGCCCAGTTTTTTAACCTTTCCTCATAGGTCAGGTTTTCTAAACCTTTTATCATTTGTATTGCTCTCCTCTGGATGCTTTCCAATTTATCCCCATCTTTCCTAAAGTGTGGCACCCAGAAATGGACACTGTACTCTAGCTGAGTCCTCACCAATGCTGAGTAGAGCAGAACAATTGTCTTACATGCAACACTCCTGTTAACAAACACTAGAATGACATTAGTCTTTTTTGCAACTGCATCACATTGTTGGCTCATATTCAATTTGTGATCCACTATAATCCCGAGAGCCTTTTCTGCAGTACTACTGCCTAGCCAATTATGCCCTATTTTGTAGTTGTGCATGTGATTTTTGCTTCCTAAGTGAAGTACTTTACATTTGTCTTTATTGAATTTCATCTTGTTGATGTCAGACCAGTTCTTCAGTTTGTCAAGGTAATTTTGAATTCTAATCCTGTCTTCCAGAGTACTTGCAACCCCTCCCAGTTTGGTGTAATCTGCAAATTTTTTAACCCTAATCTCTATTTCATTATTCAAATCATTAATGAAAATATTAAGTAGTACTATACCTAGGACACCTCTGCAAGACCCCACTAGATATGCCCTCCCCGTTTGACAACAAACAGTTGATATCTTACTCTAAGTACGGTCTTTCAACCAACTGTGCACCCACCTTATAGTAATTTCATCTAGACCACATTTCCCTAGTTTGCTTATGAAACTGTCAAGTGGGGCTGTATCAAAAGCTTTACTAAAATCTAGATATATCACATCTACAGCTTTCCCCTATCCAGTAGGTTAGTAACCTTGTCACTGAAGGAAATTGTTCATGACAAATCCATGCTGGCTATTCCTTCTCACCCTATTATTCTTTACATGCTTACAAATTGATTATTTAATAATTTGTTCCAGTGTCATTCCAGGTATTGAAATTAGGCTGACTGGTCAGTAATTTCCCCAATCCTCTTTGTGTCTTTCTCCAGTCCTCTGGGACCTCACCTGTCCTCCATGAGTTCAGAAAGATAATTGCTAATGGTTCCAAGATTGTTTCAGCTAGTTCCTTAAGTATACTAGGATGAATTTCATTAGGCCCTGCTGATTTGAATACATCTAACTTATCTAAAAAGTTTTTAACCTGTGCTTTCCCTATTTTGGCTTGCAGTCCTTCCTCCTTCTTGTCAATATTAAATGTATTGATTATCTGGTCACCTTTTTAGTGAAGACTGAAGCAAAATAGGCATTAAACACCTCAGCCTTCTTGATGTTGTCAGTTATTAGCTCTCCTTTCCTGCTAAGTAGAGGACCCACACTTTCCTACATCTTTCTCTTGCTCCAGATGTATTTAAAGAATTTCTTCTTATTGGCTTTTATGTCTCTTGCTAGGTGTAACTCATTTGTGCCTTAGCCTTTCTGATTTGTACCAGCATGCTTATCCTATTCTTTTGCACTCTTCCTTAGCAATTGGTCCATGTTTCCATTCTTTGTAGGATTAATATTTTATTTTCAGGTAATTAAAGAGCTTCTGATGGAGCCATATTGGCCTGTTACTATTCTTCCTACCTTTCCCGCACATTGGAATAGTTTAAGTTGTGCCTTTAATACTGCTTACTTGAGAAACTGACGGTTCTTCCGAACGCCTTCCCTTAGATTTTCTTCTTAGGCAGCAATACCTATCAGTTCTCTGAGTTTTTTAAAGTCTGGGTTTTTTTAAGTCCATTGTCCCTGCTGATCTCAATCCTTCCTTTCCTTAGAATCATGACATCTATCATTACATGATCACGTTCACCCAAACTGCCTTCCACCTTCAGATTCATAACCCATTCTTATGTGTTGGTCAGAATAAAATCTAAAATGACTCTCCTGTTGTCCTTATGTCTTCCAATTTCTGAAACAAAAAGTTGTACCCAATACAGTCCAAGAATTTATTGGAAATTTTGTGTTTTGCCATATTACTTTTCCAGCAGACATCTGGTTGTTAAATTTCCCCACTCCTACCAGGTCTTATGTTTTGCATATTTCTGTTATTTGTTCTAGAAACACCTCATCCACCTCCTGTTCCTGATTTTGTTGTCTATAGTATACCCCAACCATGATATCA